CACTGAAATCTCAATGAGAAATGTAACCTTTTCATGCTGTGCCCATTTCAAGTGTGAAAAATGTTCAGCCTACAAATACACATTTTGTCCTCACATATTTGGGTTGTCCTGAGAGAGCATTTTGGTTGATGTGGTTACAATTCACTCAGAAAATCAGAGTTGCTGTGGCAACCTACACTTTTTCGATACGCATGTTGTATTCTGGAGCTATGAACGAACAGTGATGCTAGAGGCTCTAACAGTGTTTCCATCACATGGCTTACCAAGAATCTCTCCTGCTCTTATTGCCTTTCAACTCAACCTGTTGTCCATGTTATAAACAGAACTTTCTTGGTCATCAAGTCCCTGGGTGAGTCTTGAACCCAGAGTGTCTGGTTCAGTGGCAGGGATGCTACTCTTTGCGTCCTTTGGCTGACGTAACACAACAGAAAATCACAGATGATTACAAGTTTGTTTCTAGTAGTGGGAGCAATGAAATAGTGAATTCAGAATAACTCTCAACATTTCTTTAACCTATGACAAACTTACTTCCTGTCAATTTCTATGTCTACATTTATTATGGAAACTGCCTACATAAATTTCTAACACTACAAAAGTGACCTCCTGTCAGTGGAGTTACCAGTAGAAGCCACCACTGGTAAGAGGTATGATTTTGAGTACAATAAGTTTACACAGCTTCTATTATAAACTTACAATGAAAATTTGAGACTAGGACCAGAATGCGTGACTTATAATGACTGAATAACTTATACGTTCTTTGGTCCATTTATTACCCACTTTCTAAGCCTGCTTCACTTGATGACAGGACTTGGACTTGATTCTCCACATTTATGAACTTCCTCAAACCATACTGATATTACTAATGTATGAAATCAACCCAAAGTAAAAACATAAAATAGTAGAAATGCATTGTGAATCCAGCATTCTCATTTTTAAAAATTGTGCTTGTGTAGTTAAGGGATGTTAGTGCTGGGGAAAAGAATCAACATCAAAATGCTCCTAGATCTGACAAAGCACAGACACTTGTAGTGTAAAGCTCCCACTACTTTATGAACATAGGAATGTAGAAAACTGCGAAAGAATTCTGCAGTCAACCTGATTAATCCAATGTCTAGAAAATAGAATCTGCCATACCACCTTCCTGGAAATGTGTTTCAAACTCTGATCTCAAAAGAATTCTGCTGACTCCACATGATACATCATCTGTTATTTTGTATACTATTCATAAAGTGGCATGTTAATTTGTACCAATTGGTTTTATATTCAGAGTTCTTTTTAAAACTGAGTTCAGGTCTACTACTTGGAACTCACTTCATAATGGACATTCACACGTAACAGATAGAGAAACTTGCATTCCAATTAAGCTGGGTTTGTAGCCAAGACTGAGTGGCAAAGCTCAGTGTCTAACCCACTGCCGTGTCTTATCTCTTGACTTGTGGTTATTATTTTAGTGCTATAGAATTTTCTATTTATCCCAGTGCTGCCATCTAATGGTTGATAGCTTCCTCTGACTTGCTACCACTCCTTCACTGGAAATGTGGCCTAAACCCTTATTACAAATAGATAACATATTACCCTTTAGTTCCAAGGTAATGGCATAAGTCAGACAATTGCCAGTAATTCCTTTGGAACTGCTATAACTAATCTGG